TCCCCCTCTTATTATGATTTGTGCTCTATTTATGCTCACACACACACTCTCTCTCTCTCTCTTTTTTTTTTTGTTGTTGCCTGTTCGCTACCCGCTGTAAGATCGCATGCGGAGCCTCTCTCTGTCTTGCTCTCTCCTTCTCTCTCACTCTTTCTCTCTCTCTCCCTCTCTCTTTCTCTCTTTCTCATCTCATCGAACGCATCCCCATCCGTCTCTCGCTCTCGCTCTCTCTCGTAACCATCTCGCTCGCTCTTTTGATTGCTTTGGCGGCGGTCTTTAAGTGTTTTTTTTTTTTTTTTTGTTTTCTTTTTCGTTTTGTTTTCAACTCCAATCTCGCCATCCGATCGCTGTATTCTGGCGTCGGCGTTTGCATTTTTCGTGTGATGCAACGCGCTTCATCCATTTGCCATGCGTATTGAAGGGGGAGGGAGCGGAGAGTGAGTCGTCTTGTGTTGGTGTGACACCGCGTTTCTTTCGTTGCTTTTTTTTCTTCTTTCCTTTTTTTTTTCTTGGTGGGTTGAATGGTTTTCTTTTTCTCGATTGATTTTTATTTTCCTTCTTGTCAAAAGCATGACCATAAACAGCACAGTAACGCAAAAAAACAAGGAAAAAAGAAAAAAAAAAGACGACAACATTGCGATCGCTGCGTCGTTCAGCGTGTTCAGCACTGGGCGCCCTTTCACCCCCTACCCACCAATACCACCATGGTTATTGATGCGAGGTCATTGCGTGATTTATCGAGAAAGTAAGAGAGCACAGAGCGCAGCCTGGGAGCTCGATTCCAGCTTGCATTTGAAGTCAAAACCAAAAATCGCAACGAAAAACAAAAGAAAGATCAAAAGAAAAGCGAAGCTATCAGCAAGTTGTCATCTCAACACAGCGTCGTCTGCCATGATGAAGCTTCATAAAAGAACCAAACTCACCATTCACGACGCGATGTCGAAAATAAAAAAAAAATCACTTTGACAGGTTGAATCAGTCTTTTGTTTTATTTTTCAATGGGGAAGAACAGACGCGCGCCCCCCGCTCTTCCTGCGGCTGCTTCAAAGCGTCAAGCAGAGGACCCTTCCGAAGGTCAATCCAAGCGTGCCAGGACCGTAAGTGGACCGAGACCTGCCTGTCATTGCCTGTCATTTTCTGTCATTGTCTGTCATTGTCTGTCATTGTCATTGTCTGTCATTGTCATTGTCTGTCATTGGGTTTGAATTTTTTTTTTTTTTTTTTTTGCTCTTCCTTCCCCCTGGCTTTTTGTCGCGTGTCTTTCTCCCAACTGCCTCGGCGTCGCTCTTCTTGAACACTCTCACCACTCTCTTCGCGTCGCGCAACCGAGCCGCCGCCCTGTCGACTCGGCCCACGAGCGTGGGCAGCAGCATTGTGCAACAAGCGTGCTGTCTTCTTTTTTTTTTTTTTTTTTTTTTTTGCTTTTTGTTGCTTCACATGTGGCTCTTGAGTCGTCGCGCTGGCCTCCGTGTTCCCCTCTCGTCTTCTACACAAGCTCCTTTGAAAGAACTGGTTCTGTGGTGCCAGGGAGTGGTGGCGAGAGTGGCGAGGAGCAAACTTGGCTCGCAATGGATGTCTCGGCAGTTGCGCGCCATTTTTTTTTTTTTTTTTTTTTTTTTTTTTGGTTTTGCCACCGCGGTTGTGCTGCACTCAAGGTCCAACCTTTACTTTTGATTGTCCAACAGGAGGACAACGACAAATCCGAAACTACCAACGATGTGGCTCCAATGGACACCTCCAATGCTACCTCGGTGAGTGAAAACAAAAAAAGTGCAGTTTCGATTCGGTATTTTTGAAAACTCACAAGTTCTGCTCGAACAGGGTGCAAGCAGCAGCAGCAGCAGCAGCAGCAGCCGGGCAGCACCCCTCTCAGTCAGTAGTCAGATACTATGTTCCAAATGGACGAGTGGACATGGACTGACAGCTGCGTCTTGTGTGAACAGCAGGAGTTAGAGATGATCAGCGCGCTTCCTGAGCAGTTACGGATTTGTTTCAAGAGTAAGAGTCGGTCGGTAATGTGGATTCTTGGTCTTGCTAGATGTTGAGTGACTCATGCACTACGTGACAGATGTGAAATGGACGGCACCCGACCTTTCCAACCACTTGCTCAAGGAACTCTTCAACTACAGAGTGTTCATTGCTGACGAGCCTGGCGATGATACAGTATTATGCAGTCGAGGTTGAAATCACAGCAGGCGAGGTTGGAAATTAGAGCGGACGAAGTGAGGAAAATCGGACTGGAAAAAAGTAGCTTGGTTGAAAGTGCGAGAAAAATGGTTTTTTCCGTAATTGGTTTTTGTGCGTTCGATTTGGTTTTCAACGAGTTGGTTTTTGCAAGCTTGTATTTCGAATTAACCCACTTGAGATGTTAGAATTACCAACAACTTCAGGAAGTATTTGAATTGAATCATGTATCTTGGAAGGTCATTAGATGCTGGGGTGACTAGCGGGAAAGCTAGGGCTCGGGAAGAGCTCGAACTACAGTTTTGATGAATTACTTCCACAGCGACGTCTTTACCACCCAGGGCTCGTACTCACGAGCCATTTCGGTGTAAGCATTAGCATTTGCATAGTTTATCATAGTGTCATTAAATTGGTGGCAATCGTATGCCGAGTGGATTGTTCCGATCATTCCTAACGACCAGCAAGTTGCAGCACCAATGACAACGCAATGTGCACTCCACAGTGGAGCGCTCCAGCTTGCATACGCTCAATACATGTACATGCATGTATAAATAGGCTTAACTATGTTTGTTTTATGAAGGTTTACGGGTAGAGTGAAGAAAGGACGCAAGGCCGACCGGACTGTGGGGTGTTCTCCTGAAAGCCATCGACTAGTCTTTGGCAGATGCTTGTTGCAGAATAAACATGATTTGAAATGGATGTACAATAATACATGTACAGTATTTATACATGTAACATGACACGGACGATCACATCAAACGACCACCCAAAACAGGCGAGCGGGCGCCATTGAGGGAGCTTTCGAAGGAGAGCACGCCAACTAATCTAGCACATCGTGCATCTCGTGACAAGCATTAAAGTACTTGAGCTGAACATGCGTGATAGTGTTTTGGCAATGCGTTGCCGTCACGGTACCAACAGCAGCGGTAATACGACTTGAGATTGTTTCGTTCGGTTCCAGCCGGGAGCGCTTGAACGCAGCCTTCACTTGGTTGAAGACATACTCGATCGGGTTCAAGAACGATGAGTACGGAGGCAGAAAGAGCATCCCATACCCGCGGCGTGCAAAAAGCTCGCGCACTTCGGGTGTCTTGTGAATGCGCGCGTTGTCGAGCACGATCCAGGCTTTGTAGCGATGATGTCCCGGAAAGCTGACACCTGGGTGCTCTTCGCTCGGTACGAAATAGGAAGTATTGTCATTGTGCTCATCAATCTCGTCTTGAATGAGTTCTTCGTGTGGTGGAACGTAGACGCCGCATCATCGTTGTCATCATCGTCGAGAATCCTGCGACGAGAACGGCGCTCTTTCTGTCGTCGAGCAGAGTGAAGCAGAGTGATGCAGAGAAGCAGAGTGAAGCAGAGCTGACCCGCCAGCTGCAGACGCAGCAGACGACACAACTGCAGCGGGAGGGGCAGGTGGTTGGGACGACGCTGCACCGGACGTCAGCAGTGGCATGTGAACTGCATTACTGATCGACACACTGTCCTCAACCACGTTTGTAAGGGGGAGGTCGGGCTCAAGCTGTTGCACTGGGAGCTCATCCACAGCGATGCCAGACGCGGCGGTGTCGACGGCGTTTTTTGCCTCGAGCTTGTCAAACAGCTTCGTCATTGCCTCCGCAAAGACATGGCCAGTCACGCCTCCGAGCTGGATCTCATTCAACACAACGCCGCTCATTCCGATCGCTGCAATGAGCGTGAAATTCGCTGCACGAATACTGCCAACTTGAACGATTGCGCGCGCGCCCTTGCGAGATCGACCTCGCGTTCGATGCTGATTCGCATTAAATCCACTCTCGTCCACGTAGAACAAGCGATCCACAGGTGTCTGGAAAGCCTCGAAGAGCTCAGCCCATTTCTTGCGTTGGGCTTTGATTTCAGGCGAATTTTTCACCTTGACCTGCTCATACACGCGCTTGAACGTGAAGCCCTGTCGTAACATGGCACGCCCGATGGTTGCTTGATGCACTTGAATGCCAAATGTCGTCAGGAGGAGGTCCTGGAGCTCTTGATTGGTCACATTGACGTTCTTGTCGAGCTCCATCTCGAGAAAATGGAGATGCTCCGCTGTGAGCACACGGCATCCCTTGGGATTGACGTGATGTGACGTCCACTCTCCGCGCTCCTTGAAACGTTGCACTACGTTGGACACAGTGCTGATGGGGTGATGGAGCATGCTGGCGACCGTGACGAGAGGCAAGGCGCGATCAACAGCCAAGTCGATGATCCGCTTCCGTTCGGGGTCTTCTAGATGGACACACTTCCGCGGCGCGCGTGATTCGGTGGCCTGCGCCTCGTTTTGACGTTTGGGCATGGCTACAGAGCAGGTTCGTCTGGGGGTGTTTGCAAATCCCAAACATGAAGTGGCAATTTCCCAACCAAGAGTGCGAATTTTCAGTTTCAAGCTTTTATTCCAAAGTTTTCGCGCCAAAAAACCAGACCTTATCTTGGCAAAAACCAACTCGGGCGCAGTTTGGACAGTTTCGTGTTTTTAAAAACCAAATCGATAGCATTTTGTCCAAAATCGCACTACAAATTTGTACCATTTCAAATGTTTAAAAACCAAATCGTCCGTTTCTATTTCCAACCTCATATTGCAGTTTTCATCTTCGGACGCACAATACTGTAACAACTACAAAGACGACAAAGCGACAACCAGACGAGTATTTGCGAGAGAGCTCGGGAACGTTGTTCGTGCCCCAGTGGCGACAATTGCCGAACGAGTGAAAGCTCGCAAACGTACGTTGACTGACCAGATCAATGCCAATAATGGCAAGGACAGCAAGGTCGACGATCTTGAAACCACGCGGACGAGCTTGTTCCTTTCTTGGGTCGAGCAGTGGTCCATGGACCAAGGTACGAACTGACGTGGAGAGAGAGAGAGAGAGAGAGAGAGAGAGAGAGAGAGAGAGAGAGAGAGAGAGAGAGAGAGAGAGAGAGAGAGAGAGAGAGAGAGAGAGAGAGAGAGAGAGTGTGTGTGTGTGTGAGAGAGAGAGAGAGAGAGAGAGAGAGAGAGAGAGAGAGAGAGTGTGTGTGTGTGTGTGTGTGTGTGTGTGTGTTCACTTTTCGCTTGGCGTGCAGTTCCTTCCGATCCCACGGCGCTCATTACTCGGGTGGACGTGCTTGAAATGGCGCTTACCGAACGTTACTCAGTCTTGAGCCCTGACCCAGAAAAGACGATTGTAAGGCCTAGGATGGAATGAAGTTCCTCTTGGATTCTTCGGCGAAAACTGACGTTGACGGTGTGAAAATTGATACAGACCACTGCCATGGAGAAGCACAAGCATCCACTCTTTGGGCGCAAGGAGACGAAGAGGTTCTTGACCAATCTGATCGTCCAGTTTCTTGCGAATGTTCGAGCAGGCGGTACGGACCGCATGCAGTATCCGGTTGCGCTCGCGGCAACAGTCCCTGGCTGTGGCAAGACTCGGATGTGTCTCAGCACACTCCGAGACATTGTGCCTAAAGTCTGCGCTCCACCAAAAGGGACTCATGTTCCCTACCTTCGCCTCTTCGTCACCTTGAATGCTGATCCGGGCACCACTTGGAACCCAAAAGAACAGGACCGTCACCCCGAGCACGCCATCGCCAAGCGGCTCTTGGGAAGCTACTTTGCCTTGCCTGATCTGGACACTGTCGCGAACATTTCTGTCAAAGCCGCCATGGATCTGATCCGCAGAACCGAGGCAGCCAGGCGCCAAATTGATCCTCGCCAGTTGCACATCTTTATTGCAGTTGACGAAGCCACTCGCCTTCTCGACGCGAAAGTCAATCAGTCATATCGGCTGAGCGACCACCGGTCGCTTCCAGCCGTCCGACGTCGGCGACGATTTTGGTCACAGGCTTTGGGTCCACTTCAAGATATCTGTCGGAAACCCTCAACCCCAACTTGGATGATGATCGCTGGTACCAAGTCGGACCAGTTGACCTCTGCAATCTCGACCGTCATCGCTGTCGACTCGAGTCTGCCCGTTGAGCACGTTCCCATTGCTCCGCTGACCGGGTCCGCCACCGCCAGGCTACTCGACCACGTCCAATCGACTGCACAGTCAAGCGAGCAAACTACGCATGGAGACTGGCGATTCAAACCGGAGTTCATGCGCTCTATTCAGAATGTAGCCGGTTTGCCTCGCTCCATCCTTGCAGCGCTCAAGGAAACATCTGATACGCTCAAGACAATCGAAGTTGCCTACAAGCAGTTTCTCGACATCATGTCAGTTTGTGATGGCGTGAATCCGCCGTCTTGTTCTGTGGATGATCTCCAGGCACTTGGAGTGCTGTACAAGTTATCACCCAACAGCCCGCTCTTTCTCTTTCCGCGCGTGGATTTGCTTACATTGACCAGCACAGGTACACTATCGTATGTTTTGGTCAGAAAATTCTTGCTTCGTTCTAACATAACAGTCTGGTTTGCTGTTGCCCACAGACAACCTGAACGAACGTTGTGTTACAGCGATCGATCGTGTGTTTCTGCAGCTTCAATCTTTCATGACTATTGGCCCGTCGTTTCGTTGGCACGGTTGGGAGGTGTTCTGCATCACGATCTTGAATCTGCGCGTTCTTGTTGCGGCAGCTTGGGCTCTTAAGGAGGATCCCGACGTCCGGTTCGTGCCGATCAACCACATTTTCGAGGGCACAGTCTCGGGCCCTGACACCCCAAGGCTTTTTGTTGACGTGCAGCTTTGGCGCACCAAGAATTTCTCAGAAAGGCCAATCGAATCCAGCTCACGTCCCACAAACCGACGTTTCACCCTGAGCCCTGAGGGTACTACTGGTATTGACGGTTGGTGCATTGTCCATGAGGAAACATTGGCAGTAAGGCAGCGCACATGCAATAATGGTGGATTGGAGAGAGGTCACTCATTTAAAAATCTAGGGAGAATATGTTCCAGTCACGCTGGTTGTGCAGTGCAAGCTCGATCAAGTCGAGTCGACCGTATCGCACGAGTATCAGAATGAGCTGATACTGAAGGCAACAGAAGCGCTGCCGGAGCCACAGCAAAGGTCTGCTGTCGTGGCGTTGCTGACATCGTCGCGAATGGAGAATCTCGATGAGGCTCTTCTCAAGGAACGATCGTTCGTGTTGGATCGAGCGGGAATGGACAAGTTCACTGCCGGCTTCAAGTTCATTGCGGAGAGTAAGCTGACCTGAATGCACGCGAATGTTGTCTTGCGTCGACCGTGACTGACTGCCATGCTCAGTTTTTTGGAATTACAACCCACACCTGAGCACTGTTGGTCGCATGGCGAGTCAATTCCATGTGCCGAGGCAAACGAGCATGAAACGCGCCCGTGCCATGGCTGTCATGATTGACAGGTATCGTGATGACGGAACAGTGTTCAAGAGCGCGGCCGACTTGCGAAAGTTTTTGATGCAGCACGCCAACGAGCAAGTGAGCAAGACGATCCGAACAAAGAACGGCCCCGTCACAACAGTGTACAAGTATCCTGCCGAAGCCATTCCAAGCAAAAAGGTGCTCCAGTGGCCGTACGCTCTTGACGCCAAACCACGAAAGCAAAAGAACCAGTAAGAGGTACAAGTCCACACCGAGTTTGCGTATCACGAAAGCGAGAGCCAGGTCAATTGGAGCGTCGGTGGAATACAGCCCTCGCATTGCACCGACGAGGCTGATTTGTACCGGCAAACCGTTCATTGTGTTTTTCCTCGTGTTCGTTCGACTCGGCGCGTTTGGAGTGATCTGCTGGCGTTCTTGTACCATTATACTTTCAACGTTGTACGAGTATTGTTTCAGTCGTCCTTTGTGTTTGTGGTCATTCTTTTCATAATGTTGAGTTATCTGCGACCTTTCGCATCTTCAACGGCTGTCTCGAGTGCAGCGGCTTACCGACGGATCAAGCCAACTGCTGCGATCCGCTCACTCTCTGCGCTCGCCTTCAGTGGTGCCAGTACCCCCCGCCCAATGGCCCTGTTGGTATGCTTCGTCCACGATGAGCCTCTCTCGAGGGCGGGAGAGATTTTCGGAGAAGAACTTTTGTCTCGGCAGCTTTACTTTGTTTTTGACCTTTCCCCTTTTTTTGGATTACGTTTGGAAACGCTTTTAAAGCTCAAACCCCACAAAGAGGAGGAACATGATCAGGGCAAAAGAGTAAGGGGAAAGGGCAATGTGTTTAGCGTATTCTTGCTGTAACAAGTTTGGTGTCAGCGTGCTGGTCATACTGGCGCGTTTTTTGGGTAGTAGTGAAATGGCGGTCTTCTCTTCTGACCTTCCTGTCTAAAGCTTTAGTAAGAATCACAACGAAAAAAGAACGTAGGATATGAGACAGTTGAATGTCGTCGTAGCGCACACCAGTGAAGGCATGTGGGGAGAGGTTTTTTTTTTTTTTTTTTTACCGTCTAAAGCTTTATTAAGAATAACAAAGAAAAAAGAACGTAGGATATGAGACAGTTGAATGTCGTCATAACGCACACCGGTGAAGGCATGCGGGGAGAGTGCTCAAGAGCTCACAGAGGAACTCGAACAGATGATCAGCCGGGCTGACAATGGAAGGATCAGGCATTCCCCACCTATACACCACGAAAGACATGTTGCTAGCCATTTCGGTTCACTAACAAGTAGACGGCTGGCAGGCGGTGGGACAGCACACTGTCGTAAGGAGCGACAATTCAGAAACGGTCAACCGCTTTACACACAATTTGCGGGTACTAGGTGTACGCGAGGGCAAACAGTTGTGTGGAAAGACGTTCATTGTACCGGATTTCAAAAGCCTTTCCCCACCTGCTTTCGAAGGGGGGATGCTCTTGCTCATCAGTATGGAGAGGGGCGGCGCCAAAGTCGTCGCCGTCGTCGTCAGTCCTCCAGGGATTGGGGAGGGGTATGGTAGAGTGCTCGAGGCGCGCTGCCAGTGTGATGAGGTACCGAAAGCGGAGGACCGCGTCGGCGGGGGTGAACACTGTGTTGTCGAACTTGGCAGTGCAGCGCAGCGTCCAGAGAGTCCAACGGGCAGTGTGCATGACGATGGTGAGACAAGCGAGTGCTTCGTCTTTCATCAAGGCGTGGTAGCGTTTGTTCTTGATAGGGCCAAAGAGCCATTGCGAACGCTGTCTAGGGAACCAGGGGCCTTGCGCGTGGCTGAACAGCGTTTCGGCCTCGCGCCAGACCGCCACAGCCAGGGGGCAGTGGACAATCATGTGCAGCCAGTTTTCGAGAGGGGCACGGGTGCCATGAAGTCGGAAGCAGTGGACGCAGGCGAACGCGCCACTGTGTGACTCCTCGCGGAGTTGTTCGTTGGTGAGCTTGTCGCGACGAGACAGCAGACGAATCTCACCCAGGTACTCGGTGTTGTGAGCGATGCGCCAGATGAGGCCGGCACGGTTGCGCGGGACAAGATTGGTCATCATGTTGCGGCGCAGTTTGGACCAGTGCACGGGTCCTAGGATTTGCTCCCACTCGACCAGGGCAGTTGGTTTGACCGGGGCGGGCGTGAGCATGTGGCGAAGATTGCGCAGCGATGCGTCAGATGAGGTGCATCGCACGATGTGCACGCGCTTTTTGCACTCCTCGATGTGTTTGGGGTAGAGTGCCAGCCAGTAGCGGGCATTCTCAATTTCAGAGGGATGGCGGCTTTCGAGCATCGTCCTCCTGGAGCGATTTGCGGTGCGGCGAAGGTCGTCTAGGTCTTTGTCGATGCAGAGCGAGCGATACATGTTCTCGGGAGCGCCACGCAGCTGCAGCCGGGATGGGTCAACGTCGAGACGCATAAGAGAGCCAAAGAAGAATCCTTCGACCTCAGGGCGTTTTGGTGGAGGATAGGCTTCAGCGAGCTGCATCAGCAGGTCGCTTGGCTTGGTGTGGGACTTGGCAGACGGAGAGGTCCAATCCGATACCACTGCTGGGTGTGAGTTCAGCAAGCGGGAGCCTGGCTGAGAGGATGTGCTTAGGCACCACAACCTGACCGTGGAGGCGGAACACGTAGGGCTTCACGCGCACAGACAAGGCGTCGGCGGCCGGAGTTTCCAAGATTCTGCGGAGGAAGCCCCACGAGTCAACAACCCAATCGTTCTCGCGGAAGCGCACAGGGGCGATCCGCAGTTTGGACGGGTCGATGTGCGAGACTTTAGAGCGGATCACTTGGAGTCTGGCTTCGACCTGTGGCAGACGGGAGTCGCAGAACTCGCGGAGATCGCGGGCCGACTGCCATTTCTTGCCAGAGTGGAGATGATGGAGGTACGAGATGCCGTGTTTCCGTAGCATCCTGAAGTCGATCTTGTCAAGCATGGGGTTGCGCCAGAGGGGAGTGGCGAGCAGTTCGTTCTTCGAGCGAGGAGGCTCAGAGAAAGGGAGCAGCCTGCGCCACGCCCTGAAGGCATGGTGCCAGAACACCGAGAGCGAAAGTCTAAATGGGAATTTGGCGACTAGCCGCTGCATGGCCGTGTACTCGGCGACAGGATAGTCGGAGAGCCGAGCTGGTCTGTCAGCCACTTCGGCGAGGTGGTTGACAACCAACTTCCAGAAGCTGGGGACAGGCGACAGGAAGTTGATTAGCGCTTGGGCAGCCGTCGCTGCAATGTTGGTGGGGAGATCGATGAGTCCAAGCCCAAACACGATCGTTTTGGGAGGAGCGGTCACAACCTTCCTGGCGACCGGGGAGAATCGGCCTTTCCAGAGATAATTGTAGACAGTGTCGGACAGTGCCTTGGAGTACGTGTTGGGCATGTGGATGCAGCGACAGTGGTACCAGACGCGGGAGAGTCCGATCGCGTTGGCAATCAGGACCCTGCCAGCGATCGAGAGACTGTGGCGCGACCAACGACCCAGCGCACGCGCGACCTTGGCTCGCAGGGGCTCGAAGTTGGCTTTGGCAAGATCGCCGTAGCCAAGTTGCACGCCAAGGACTCGAGTGGTGCCGTCAGGAGGCACCCATTGGAGATGAGCCAAGCCGTCCGGCGGATCGGCATCCCGAAGGGGGCCGAGACGCAGGACGGAGGTTTTGGCCTCGTTGATCTTGAGGTTGGTAGCCCTGCCAACTGTTGCGTAGACTTCAAACAGGGCATGGATGTGGTTGGGATCCGACAGGAAGATCGATGTGTCGTCAGCAAACAAGCTGGGTTCCACGATTTGAGGACCAGACCTCAGGGCCAGAGAGAGCATCTTGTCGCGCAGTTTGTGGATGACATAGTCGGAGATGACGCCGGCGTAGATGGCATACAAGAACGGCGCTTCGACGCTCCCTTGACGCACAGATCGTTTGATCGGGAATGGAAGCGAGATGGTGCAGTTGTACACAACGCGGGATTGGCAGCCAGTGTTGAGCAGTTCCATCCAACTGATGAAACTCTCACTGACGCCGTACTTGCGGAGTGCTTGGAATAAGAATTGGTGATCGACTCTGTCGAATGCCTTTTCCGAGTCCAGCAGGACAGCAACACCCGGAATGTTGCACACGCGGCACAAATCGAGCAAGTCGCGCATGAGATGGATGTTGGCATCGATGGTACGACCAGGAACAAATCCGTTCCGGTTGAGGTTGACAATCTCAGGGGCAATCAGGGCAAAGCGCGCCACCAAGGCTCTGGAAATAATCTTCGAGTCCACGTTGAGACAGGTGATTGGTCGGTAGTTGCCCGGGTCTTAAAAGCTGGCCCCGAGTTAAGTGTTAGGTTGCCTTCCAAAATTGGAACCACGTTTTTCAGAAGATCTAAGATATGTACTGACACCTATGAAATGCGCTGATTCCGAATCTGCAATAAAAAGTATACGTCATCGAGTTTGTTTTTGCGCAAATCGAGCTCAAAGGTGAATTTCGCACGGTTTCCATGGTTTCCCAAACCACTTCCCCTGCGCTGATTTTGCAGAACAAAATTGACATTCACATCCATCTATACAGTGCGCCGAATCCGAATCTGCAATAAAAGGTATACGTCATCACGCTCGGTTTTGCGCAAATCGAGCTCAAAGGTGAAATTCGCACGGTTTTACCATGGTTTCCCAAACCACTTCCCCTCCTCTGATTTTCCAGAACAAAGTTGACATTCACATCCATCTATACATTGCGCCGAATCCGAACCTGCAATAAAAAGTAGAGGTCACCATGCTCGTTTTGGTGAAAATCGACGTCAAAGGTGAATTTCTCACGTTATCGCATTGTTGTCTCCAACAATTCCCCCTAACCCCCCCCCCCCCGATTGTGCAGAGCAATTCTGATGCGAACATTTGTCCACGATGTGCGCTGATTCCGAATCTGTCATAAAAAGTGCACCTCATCTGCCTCCACAGTGGAAAATTTTTTCCGAATTTCGGAACGACCGAATTTTTTCAAAAATTCGGTGTTTTTCAACTTGCGAATGCTTGGGTTTGGCTTGTTTCTTTCAATCGTAGTATGCAATATATGTTGTTTGCAGTGCATAGTTGTGGAAATTGGACGGCGGGGACTGTCCTGGAACGCGAAACGATGAGGAGGGGAATTGGCTGGCGGTCCATTGCGATTGGCGCTCCTCCTTGCTACTGCTCCCCAGGCCATGTCAACGCGCGCCTTTGCATGTCCAGTGACGTGATACAGTTGTGGCACTTTGTTTCTGAGGCGGAGGCGGTCGGGGACGGTCGCACAGACACAGGAAAGCGCTGCTGGCACAACTTCGCAGCCACCACTCAATGACTGCACCAGT